TCTCTATAGATTGCTGGAGCTTTCTGCCTGGGTATCCTTCTATTTTTTATTTTCTGGCTTGTGAATTCTGTTTGTCTTGGCACTGCACCTCCATCTCCTCAGCTTAAGGGGACTTCTGGGTTCTGCAGACAGGTGGGGAAATTGTGGGACTCATATAATTTATTTCCCATCTCCTAAGGATCACTGTTCTTCCCTTCCTCGTATCCAGTATCTGTTTCAGATATTTTGTCTGGAATTTCCTTAGTTATTTCAAGTCAGAAGGTAGCTGGCAACAGTAGCTGTGCCCTTGCCTCCCTCTGTATCCATTCTCCCACATCCTCCTATACCCTCAAACCCTGGTATTGCCAAGAAATGTCATTTATTTAGAACCTTTCTTTACTTCAGCAGGAGGTAATGTTGGCGGCGATTGGGTACCTGTCCCTGGAGTCATACATATTGGAATTCAGATCTCAGCTCTGCCAGTTCCCATGTAGCCTTGGCCAAATTACTTCATCAACTTGAGCCTCAGTTTCCTCATTTGAAAAAGAGGAAATGATACCTAGCCATAGGGCTGGAGTGAGGGTTAAATGAGGTAATGCATAAGAAGTAAGTAGCACTATATAATGGCCTCCGTAATATAATTCAATGAGTACAAGCAGGATGTATTGTTAAAATTGCCTCAAATTTCTCCATTGTCTGCTCCTGCCTCTGTTCCTGGGGACAATCCCACCATTCCTCTTGAACCCCTGGAAAGGGGTATATGGCCAGCCCTAAATTTCTTGCACCAACAGAGGGGAGCAGTCATGTGGAGAACTTCCAATAACACATGCAGCACATTATGGACATTTGGCCGCATGAAGCATTATAATGATCTTTTCTTTGCGGCAGATTGACTTTACTAATTAGGTTGGGTTTGAGCCAATGTTAAATACAGTTTGCATGTACAGAACGCAAACCAACTGGCAGCAACAGGGAACTCAGAAACATTTCAGGTAACAGGACAAGCCAGCTATGATTAAAACTCTGCTTCAGATAATCCTTTCTCTCTCCCTTGGCCTCCATTTTTATGAGCTCGGTAAATATTGAAGATATTAACCCTTCGTCATATTTGCTGCAAATGCATTTTCCCCAAGGGTTGTTCAATTCTGTTTTGAAATTCAAATCTGTCTCAAACAGAATTTTAAAATTTGTGTGTAGTTAGACTATGGATCTTCCCTTTTCTAATTTCTTCTACTGCTTTCAGGCCTAGGAAAATCCCATCCAGTGACTGAATAAACATCCTCCTTTATTTTCTGTTTTCGACGTTTTATTTCTTATTCAAACTAGAATTTATTTTGATTTTAATATGTGGTGTAAGGTGCAAAGGTGTGGGTATTTGAGATAATTTATGCCAGCTGCTGCAATGGGCAAACCCTGAAGTCTAATGCCTTAACACAACAAAGCCTTAGGTTTCACTCACATCAAGCCCAGTGATGTTTGGATGGCATTCCTTGTTTGGTCCCCTTCCAGGCAGTGACTCAGGGACCCAGGCTACTTCCACCTGCAGCTCTACCATGTTGTCTTTTGTTTCTGGTTGGGGGGATCCCATAGAATATTTGGTAAGCACTATCTCTGTCTCAAGACTTAATTGGATTTTTCAAATAACTAATCAATAATTACATGACCCAGAGCCATTTACTGATCACATATTAAGTTGTTATATATGTACGGTTGTCTGCTTATCTTGTTCCATCAGGCACTGTACCACTTATTTTCTTTCAAAGTAGCTTTATATATGTCTTCACAACCTGTGGGGTGAGCTCTTCTCTTACTATTTTTCTTTATCAAAATTTTTTGGCTATTACATAATAGATCGTATTACATATTACCTGTGATCTCTTAGCATATGAGCTCAGTTATCACCTCAGAGACTGCACTTACTTCCTCCCTGACCAGAAGCTCAGCTAACATCTCAGGTAGAGGATGTCCAAACCCATGTCTCCATCTTCTACCCCTTTTCCAAACACTATACCCATATTTCCAGGCACCTGATATGTAGTTGGAAGTATCTGGAAATTTGGCCAGCTCTGGTGGGAGCTAGAGTATGCAGCAGCCAGTGGCTATTTTTTTTTTTTTTTAATCAGTTGTAGAGGTGAATCAGGAGAAGGAAAAGAGCTGATGCTTCAAAATATTTCCCCATCTCCATTGAAGAGCTCGAGAAATAACAAGGAGTGATAATTCCGGGATCCCCTTGCTCAGGAGGGCCTACCACATTTGAGAAACCTTAAGCAAGTCATTTCTACCCTTCATGAGTCTGCACTTTCCTCACTGTGGCTGGGTTGAGGGGGCAGGTAGAGAAAAAGCACAATAAGTGGCTGGCAGTACTAGCTCAGAGCAATGGTTCAGAGGTCGGTCCCAGATGCCGGCAGAGGTCTTTAAGATCTAGGTACCCTTGCACAATCTGCAATGAAGGACAGATGTCACCAAAACAAAAATAATAGTAACTCCTCCCAGTTTTTGAGCACCTACTATGGGCTGGTCATCTTTGAACATTAACTCGTTAGACTCTCATGTCTACCCTGCAAGCTAAGCAATGTTACCTCTACTCTACAGATGAGGAAGCTTAGATTCGGAAATGTCAAGTCTTTTACCAAAAGCCACAAAGCTAATGAGGAGGAAAACTGGAATTTAAACCTGGGTCAGTTGACTCCAAAGCCTGTGTCCCATCTACTCAGCTATGATGTAGCTGCCATCTTTCCAAATATTAGGGAGATCTGGAATGTTTAAAAGCTCGTGAACATAATTAAAACTGGTCTTGAGCATTTGTTGCAGTTGTGTGGAAAGGGTGATGGTCCGTGTTAACTGTGGAGTGGATGGAGAATTTACAATACTCTCCCTGGATCATGCTGAAGAGGAGTAATGTGGAAGGTTAACTAGGAATCGATTGTCCAGAACAGCCAAAATGAGTTTCCGGGCACTAGACAATTACTTATTTTGCTCTTTGCCTCAACAGATAGACTGGCTTTTAAGGAAGAAAACCATCTTCTGTAACATACAGCAGAATGAAACTGTTTAAGAAATTGGGATAGGCGGATTGGCTCATGCCTATAATCTCACTCTGGGAGGCCAAGGTGGGTAGACTGCTTCAGCCCAGAAGTTCGAGACCAGGCTGGGCAACATGGTGAAACTCCATCTCTACAAAAATTAGCCAGGTGTGGTAGTGGCATGGCTTGAGGCTGGGAGGCTGGGAGGCTGAGGCTGTAGTGAGCATGGTTGAGGCTGGGAGGTTGAGGCTGCAGTGAGCCATAATTGCACAATTGCACTCTAGCTAGCCTGAGTGACAAAGTAAAACCATATCTCCAAAAAAAAAAAAAAAAGAAAAATTCTTAAACGGAACCTGGGCTAGAAGAAACCCAAAATGTGAAGCAGGGGTAAGACCAGTTGGTCTCCTAAAGGCCAAATAAGAAGCAAAAAGGTTTTGTATGTATCAAAAGAAATATCTGTGTTCTGAGGAGACCCTTCTTTTATGGCATTCAAGCCTTGGAGTATTAGGCCTTTAAATGCAGAAAAGCAGTTGTCCTAATTAGGCATCCCATGATTCTGATCAGTTTGAATTAGGAAGCAGAAAGAAGCTTGATTGATAGAGGATATTATTGCAAGAGAAATGTTTGGGAGACACTGTGGAGTGAATCCAGGCCTGGCCACGTTCCCTCTGGTGCCCTCTGGCATCAACCTATGTTACTCACATAGTTAAGGAGCATCTCAGACAAAGGAAACATTCTACCATGATTGGGATTTGCTGAGCACAAGACTATTTCCACAGTGTTTCAGGCACAAAGAACAATTATGTATTTTGCTAGAGTGCCTGTTGCCTTAATGATTACATCCATGTGTATTTTAGGAGAACTTCTGTCTTCTGCTTCTTATTCATTTACACTTTACACTTCAAAAGATTGTTTTGTAAGAGCTACTCAATGCACAAGAAGTCTCATGAGTTTTTCTTCTAAATGAGCCAGCAACTTTCCAAGAATCAGGAAGCTGAAAGTTGCCAAGAATAAATAAATGAACTCCAGAAGGTTCAAGTTTGGTTTAAAAACTCTGTAAGGTTTAAAGTAGGGTCTATATCTGGCTTAACTCCATGTCCTCATCTAAGACATAAACCACAGGAGGGAATACTATTCCTGGCAGTAACTTTTTCCCAAGCATTCCACCTAATAGTCATTTCCAATCATGATTAATTAGAAAATCTCAGCAAAATAGTCCTAATGCAATGCTATATGCATAAATAGAGGTATGGTGGAATAGCTCTTAAGTTAGGCAGCCTCTGCCTTGGTTCTGCCACACAATTTGCTAGACAAGGTAAAGCGTGTCCCTCTGTGCCTCAGTTTCTTCATCTGTGAAATGGAGAAACAACACTACATGGTGTCTAAAATTCTGTGATAACAATTCCAAATGAAGCCTTGTCTAGTCCATGGAAGCAAGGAGTCTGGGGTTTCAGTATTATTGATCAAGATTGGAATTAGTCGGTTGCGTTCACGTCCAACTATGAAGATTAAAAAAAAAAAGAGTAAGCTGGTGACAGACATGTCAAAAGGAAATATGTGTGATGGAGAGAAAGTAAGGAGGTATAATAGATATTGTTGATGTCCCCCCTAGCCACTCTTTACCGAGCTGCTGCAGGTGCTGGCTGGTAATTGCACACACCTGTACCCTTCCCTGGAGGCTGGAGGTGTGGGAGGTTACAAGTCCTTCCTTACTCTACTCTGGAGGCATGGTTGCCAATAGCTGATACATGGGGGGTCTATCAGCCCAGCCGTCTTGCCTCTGTGGCCAGGATGACCTTGATGGTGCACTTTGTGCTCCAGGGCTCCCCAGGGGATCAAGCTGAGGCCAGATTTCCCCTGACATCCTCACTGAGCTCCTTCCCCTACTCCTCTCACTCTCCTATGGGTTTCTCCTGAGAGCACTCCCTCAAAACATCACTTGCCTAAGAATCTCCATCTCTGACTCTGACTCACCTCCATCTCTGACTCTGCTTCAAGGGACCTGACCCATAACGAGGGGAGGAAGAAAATGAGCCAAGCCAGTAGCCCATTTGTGTTATGAGCACCCTCCTGGGCTCACGTGTCCTGAGCCCAGCACAGACCAGGTAATGATGGAGACTACAGGTTTGCAGGACATGACAGAGCCATGCACACAGAGCTCTGTGGTCAGGGTGGGAATTTCATGCCTCCATTCATTCAGCAGCCATTCACTGAGAATAAGCACTGTGATGTATCTGGGCCTGCAAGCAGCTTGGCTCAGTCAATTCGGTTGATGCTGTAACTTGACCGAGCTGGGCCTTGCAGCTGCTGAGGCCTCAGGAGCAGGCTGAAAAAAGGAGGGGACAGGCATTGTAGCAGGACTTGGACAGCATACATTTTCCCCAGGGGATGTCTGAATACAAGACTAGGGAATTTGAGAAGAAGGAATGATGACATTCATCTGGAAGGGCAGAGAAGACTTCCTGAAGGAGATGGCATTTCTTCTGGGCCTCATGGATGTGCCTGACTTAAAAATGTGGAACCAGGTTGGGGAGAGCATTCTAGGTGGAAAAAGAGTCTCATCTAAATGAACGTGCTCTTCTCTCCAACATTTTCCTGTTGTCTTTTCAACTGCCTCAAGGCAGGACTGTGATCTTCCCCTACCTTTGTAATGGTGGGCCTTAGAGCCTGAGGACCTTGCCCAGGGAGGGCCCCACCCTGTACACGGGTACGGGGAAGGGACACTGACATCATGAAGCTTCCATAAGAAGTCAGAGGGTTGGGAGGCCAAGGCGGGCAGATCATCTGAGGTCGGGAGTTCGTGACCAGCCTGACCAACATGGAAAACCCCCATCTCTACCAAAAATACAAAATTAGCAGGGTGTGGTGGTATATGCCTGTAATCCCAGCCTGGGTGACAAGAGTGAAACTCTGTCTCAAAAAACACAAAAACAACTCAGGGGGACTAGGGTCAGAGAGCTCCCAGATAGCTTGACAATTGGAGGTTCCTGGAGGGTGTCCCAGGGAGGGCATGGAAGCTCTGTGCCCCCTCCCCTATACCTAACCCTACACATCTCTTCCTTTGTAATATCCTTTATAACAAATCAGCAAATGTGAGTGCTGCCCTGAGCTCCGTGAGCTGCTCCAGCAAATTAATTGAACCTCAAGAGGGGAGCATGGAAACCCCAACTTGAAGCCGGGCGATCAGAAGTTCCAGAGACCTAGACTTGTGACTGGTATCTGGGGGTATGGGGGGGCAGTCTTGGGCACTGAGCCCCCAGCCTGTGGGATCTGACACAGTCTCCAGGTGGATAGCATCAGAATTAAATTGGAGGACACCCAGCCAGGGTCCACTGCTTGGTGTGTGAGGGGGAAATTTTTGGTCACAGAAGACTTCTGTGTGAGTGATTGTTGCTGTGGTGGTATGACAGCAGAGAAAGACACGGTGTGAGGAGAGTGTTCCCTACACAGATACCAAAGTAAAATTTCAACTTTGGATATGATTCACGGGTTTGAGACTCCATATGGGAATTGAAACTAAGATCCCCTGGGACCTGGAGCCCCAGGATCTGTTTTCCTCTTGGCGGAAGCTGTACGTCCCGTGAGCTCTCTCAAGCACTTCCCTAGATGCACACTGTCTCTTATCACCCCATGTGATGGGATAGATGACAGTAGGGGACTCACTGGGGAGGGCTCCAGATCTCAGGCCTCATGGGGAAACCAGGGTGAAGTTAAGTGACAGGGAGAGATTGTGAAAGCTCCCAGAAGATAAGCCCCGCTCCTCAAGGGCAGGAGAGAAAACCACAGGCCTGAAAGTCAGGGAGTTCTCAGGGGAGACAGAGAGCTAAGATGAGACGGCAGCTGGTGGGAGGCATGAGCAGATGGTGTGCCTCGCTGCCAGAGACAGCACCGCGATCGAGACAAAGACACGTCCTGGAGAGAGGAGGATGCCTCGCTGGCCCTTCTGCAGGAGTCCTTGGCCGAGCTGGGAAGACAGCCTTCTGGCAGGAAGTGGGATTAAAAAAAAAAAGGGATACTGGCTCTCTCTAGTTTTCATTCTTGGTGGAGTCAGGAAGCAAAGAGAGGGATGGAGAGTGTCAAGAATTGTGATTGCTCTGTGTCAAGGTCAAGAAGGGTGCCTGTTGCACCAGAGCCCCTCAGGTTGTCTTGCAGGAGAGGTGGGAGTGAAGGGAATCAACGACCAGGGCCATCCCGAGCTGGGAAGGCGAGAGGACGAGGGAGATTAAGGCCAGTGGGCTGAATGGTTAGGAGGCTTATGTCAGCATGTCTTTCAACATGTGGAGTTACGCCCTCGGGACTTATGCTATTCTGATGACGATATTACAGAATTTTTATATAGCAGATCTTTTTCTTTATGATTTCTCTTCCCAAGTTTAGAAAACCACTCCCTTCAAGAGGTTTGATTCGTATTTGATTTTATGTTCTCCTAATTTGCTAAAATTTGTAAAATTAATTATCTAAAATCACTGGAATTGATTTTGGTGCATTGAGTGAGGTGAGAATCTCATTTTAAAAATAATCTGTAACTCTCTTATTGATAAAAAAAACATGATTTATCATAACAGTAGTAATTAGCAAAATATGGAAACACTGAAAGAAGAAAAAAATCATGTTCTCACCACCCAGAAATAATCATTTTTATACGTTACCTTTCCTTTTTTGTCTATAATTTTACATGATTGTGATCATATAATACATACAGGGTTATAAAGGCTGATTTTTAAAACTGCATCTATATTGATAAATGTAATATATGTTTATTAGAGAAAGTTTGGAAAATACGTAAATGTATGAAGCAGAAAATGAAATTCAGTTGTATATATTTTCTTAAAGTAATAATACAATTTTTGTAGTTATACTTTAATGTTTTACAAATCACTGAGACCACACAGTATATTCTGAACTTTAAGCATTGTGAGTACATAACAGATTCTAGATGGAAAAAAAACATGAATCAGGACATGGAAATCAATCAATCAATCAATCAATCAATTTACCTACCTACCTACCTGTAATCTATAACTGATCTATAACTGATCTATATCTGTATCTATGACATCTGTGGTTTATTAGCCTTTCCCAAATCACATAATCAATACTCAGGTTGCTCAATGTGATTTTTTCAAATGCTTTAGTAAGATTTTATTTCTCAAGGGGCATACACGGTGTTTCTTATATTATTACCCTTTTTTAGTATTGCTGGTTTTATAATTAAAATTTTGGAGTTATTAAAATGTGCTTAGTTTCTTTTAAACTTTTAATCTGACAATAATTTCAAACCTATAAAGAATAAAAATAGAATAAGGGACACTCCTATATCTTAATTTATTCATTGATAACATTTTAAACCCATTTGCTTTATCATATTTTCTCTCCCTCCTTCTCTAATATGTTTCTGGGAAACATTTGAAGGTAAGTTATAGATCATGGTTATTTACCCCTAAATACTTTGATATTTCCAAAGAATAGAGATATTTTCTTACATAACCATGGTACGGTTATCAATTTCATACACTTACAACTTGCATTGATGTAATAATTTTATCTAATGTACTGTCCATATTCCAATTTTTTCAGTTGCTCTAATAATGTCTTAACAGCATCTTTCTCCTTCAGCACAGAATCTAGTCTAGGGTCAAGTATTGTGGTCACCACCCAGAACATTTTCACAGCCTTTTTTTGACTTTTATGACAATGACTTTTCTTTTGAGAATACAGTCCCTCCCACCTACCTTTTTAAACTAGGATGTTACTCATTTATATAAATGTTTCATTTTGATTAAATTATGCCTTCATGGCCAGAATACTGTATTGGAGATACAGTGTCCTTTTCAGGGTACCACATTTGAAGCACACAGTGTTCACTGATCGCTCATAACTGTGCTTAATTTTGATCATCCTGTCAAGGCGTTATCCTGTTTCTCCCACTATAGAATTAGTTTCCTTTTTTCTTCATTGCAGCTAATAAGTGGCCTGTGGGTAGACACTTTAAGACCATATAAATATACTGCTTCTCATCAAAATTCCCTCTAGAATTAGTATTTACTGATGATCCTTGCCTGATCCAATCTTTATGACGATGATTACAAAATGTTGGTTTTCTAACCCCAGCACTCCTTCCACTTTCACCAGTGGGCTTCTGGCCTTCTTCCAGAGATCTCCCTTCTCCCTCATTTATGTGTTTATTGTTTGTTATTTATAATTTTCAGTATAGGCTAATTCTTTTTTCCCCCCAAAACCATCTGTTTATAACACATTATTGTATTTAAGTATTTTGGTGTTCAGGGTGTCCCAGAGATGGCCAGAGGGAGCCCTTTCAAGCTGGCTCATGTCCTTGGGACCTGCCTCCAGCATCCTTTGAGCACTTTGTTACTTTCTGGCAGGATGATCTGTTCTAGGCTCATCTTGTACGCATCCCTTCCTAGCCCTGGAGTCAGTCATTTCTCCAAGGAGCTACGTGTCATGTGCTGGGTTTTAAGAGGTCTGCAAGACTTGTTAGAAAATTATAGAGTCATTACCCTTTCCCTTAATTTCTTGCTTCCCAGGAGCAACCACATTCAACTCTTCAGCTGATTCCATTTTCCTCTGAATGATTAAACGACATGCTCTACTGCTACTTCTAGATTTTTCACAAGCATGCATATTTTCCATCTCCTTATGCTCTCAATTCCATTACATCATAAATTTGGTTGCATAATATTCAATATTTATAATATGATGATGATGTAAGCATTATTCATAGGTGAATTTTTGAGTGTCCTATAATTAAGGCTACTTTTCCTTTCCTGAATAAGGTTTTATTTGCTCTGGAATGACCTGTCTTAATTTTTTTATTTGCTTAGGTTTTTTTGTACATTATTATCACCAACTCAAGCCCAAATTCTCAGTTGCTTCCAGAAATCTGCTCATGATATCTCAAGATGCATCAGCAATTTATGCAAGTTCATTTTCTTGAAGTCCCTGCCTCTGCAGCCCTCTTACCTGCTCTGGTTTGGGCTGCCTGTGATATAGACATTATCTGGGGTTCCACCTCACCAGCATCTGGGGAGTTCCCTTAGTTCCTTCTTAGATACCCCAGTCCTTGATTCCACCCCCTACCCCACCTTTTTTTTTTTTTGAGGCAGGGTCTCCCCCTGTCGCCCAGACTGGAGTGCAGTGGCCCAATCTTGGCTCACTGCAACCTCCACCTCCTGGGCTCAAGTGATCCTCCTGCCTCAGCCTCCTAAGTAGATGGGACTACAGGCATACACCAACAGGCTCAGCTAATTTTTGTATTTTTTGTATAGATGGGGTTTCCTCATTTTGCCTAGGCTGATCTTGAACTCCTGAGCTCAAGGAATGCACCTACTTTGTCCTCCCAAAGTGCCAGGATTATAGGCATGAGCCACTGCACTTGGCTCCCATCTCCTTCTACATTTAATCTTTTGTTTTGATGAATCACAATCTCTAGTAGTTTCCTAACTACTAATATTCTAAAATGAATATATGAGATGTACATTTTTTGAGAAACTACATGTCTGAAAATTTATTATGCCCTCATCAATAATTGACAATTTGTCTAGATTTAAAATTCTAGGCCAGTTAGAATTCTCCCTTAGAAGTTTTTAAAGAGTTAGTCCCTGTCTTCTAGCTTCTAATGCTGCAACCAAGAAGCCTAAAGCAATTCTGGTTCTTGACTATTTGTATGAAAGCCTCTCCTCTTTGTCTTTAGTTTCTGAAATTTTGTCATGATGTGATTTAGTCTGTTTTCATCCACTGGATATTCAGTGGGCCCTTTTAATCTGGAAACATTTAGCCTTCGTTTCTGGAAAA